GGTGGGGTGGGGGCGGTCGCCATGGCGACGGCGCGGCGCCCGAGGGGCGGGGATGTCTCTGGGTGCAACTTTCCCAGGCGAGGGAGTTGGGCGCTGCGTGCGCGCGCGGGGGTGCCTGGCGGGGACGAGGAGGGTCTCGTCTGGCTCTCTGATCTCTTGTGCACCCCTTGGCGCACAGCCAGCTAGCTCCTCGCGCCTTGGCGGTCCTCGGAGTTGTCGCTGCCTCGCTTTGGGGAGGTTGTCGACTGAAGTGCTTCTTCAGTTTTTTTTCCTGAATCGAAATGTGTTCTCCCCAAAGCGAGGTAGCCACTGTGGGGGAGATCTTTCAGAAATTAACACTAATAATAATAATACCCTTGTAAGAACTAATGATCTCCTTTAGACATTTGATGGATATGCATGTGAACTGGCGCTGTGTTTTCTATGCATGGTTTACAGTTCAGTGCAGACTCAGTGCTTTAAGTTTTCATTTTCGGAAGTTTTGTGATTTCTGAGAGCCATACCTGGTAGATAGGGATATGTTACCCCCAGATAGTATTTATTAGCCTATTGGTACAGTTTCCGTTTATTCTCACAATATATTTATATTGGTAATTTAGTGCATATCCTTTGGACTTTTTGTTTGTTTTGGTAGAACCCCCTCTTATTGTGGTAGCAAAAGTACAAGCATTCAGTTAACAAGCTTGCTCTCTAGCCCACCACCTCTGACAAGGAGAATTCTGATTGCAACCTTTGCGAGGTGGACTTTTTTCCCCTTTAAAATATTTAAGCTTGCTATTAAGTATTTAGAGGAAGGAAGTTTGGAACTGATAAGAAATAATTCATGCATCGGTTTTGTAGAAACATGACCATCTGACCTGCATATAGTAAGCTCTTAGTAGACATTTGGTTGAAATAAAAAAGTTCATAAAAACTTACATAGAGAGCTAACTGAGCTCTGTTCTCCCAGGAGGAACAGAAGAACCCTTCCTTCTCTTGCCCTTTCCCAGTCCTAAAACTTGGAAGTTGCTGTGTTACCGTCAGGGGAGCAAATGCATAAACACTAGGAAAAATCAGCCAGCAAGCACCTCAGTGTGAGGAGGAGGAGGAGGAGGAGGAGCAGGTGAAAGTCTAGGGTGGGTTCATACGAGGCCGGTAAGATGTTTGCTCTTCCAGGTTTCTGCTTTGTTACAATCTATCTATCATCTGTCTGTCTATCTATTTATTTATTTATCTATTTGTTTGTTTAGGTTTTACAGAGCTGCCCAGGTTGGCTTTGAACTTACCATCCTTTGTGTCTCGGCCTCCTAA